CAGAAAACTTGGCACTAAAAGGAAAAGTGACACAGAGTTCAACATATTATGTATATAGTGCAAGCTACGCCATTACGGGACAAATAAATAACGAATGGAGCGGTGGATGTTCACATACAGGTGCAAATCAGCTTACGGCATGGTGGGGTTTGGAACTCCCTGAAGTAGTTTACGTGACTAATGTTCAAATATACTATAGGAATACCAGTAAGTATTAGAAGTTTTTGAAATATGAATTTATGTCAATTTTAAAATTGGGCTTTATGAAATTGATGATAATGTAACCTTTACATTTTGCGAGATTTACTATCGGCGTCCACTTTTCTGGTATGTGCAATGTTATTTTTTAAACATTTTCATCGACAAAATTGCAAAGAACTTTATAAAATACTGGATAAAACAAATATTACACACAAGAGCGTATATACCTATGTTGTAAGGAATCCGCCACCCCTTTTGCCTTAGAGATAGTGATTTGTTCTTTGTCAATATTCATATCGGGCAATTTGAGAATGAACTTCTCCGATTAGTTACATGTCACAAGATTTTTACCAGAAATGAACCCATTATTATCATATTTAAAGGCAAATATTGTATACAATTAATAATACGGGCAAATCATTTCGGCATAGAGACTGCAACCCCAATTTTCGGCAGAAAATTTGAGATAAACATTTCCATGTCTCAGTTTTAAAGAGGAAGACTTTTTAACCACTAAATTTTTAACTGGCTATTCATTACCTTATCAACATCTTAAAATATGAACCAAAGAGTTCATTTTTATTATTTCTTTTCTTTTCTGAAGAGATATTTGTGCACAATCTTATTGTGGAATGTATTTTTCAATTGTTGATGTCTATTCGTTTATATAGAAGAAATGGTGCAGATTCGTAAAAGTAAAATCTATAATTCGGTAAAGTACTTTATACACCGATATTTTGAAATGCACTTTCTTCGTATATACCACTGGTTAATTTGTGGAAATTCCTATTCGTAGTATCTTTTGGTAGTCATTTCTGATAAATTGATTACGAATGTTTGAACACTAAGAAAACTTGAACATCCATGGTATGTTATGATATGCAATCGGTAATATCGACAGTGTTTGCCTTTCGTTCAAGTATAGCCGACCTTTCGTAATTAGAATTAATTTCATTTAAAGTTTGTGCCCTGATTGTCACTCATGTGAATTTTGTATTTACACTCTTATAAAGTTAATGTTGTTTTCATTTTTGATTGGTTAAATGTATATTTTAATGATCGGTTTACTATACATCTCTAATTATTCAATTTTAGAAAGTGTTTTTTCTGAAATATTTTATATTATTTATCGAAATATAATTTAATATCGAGCACAAATCAAAGTTAACAAAAGCATATATTTGTTTAACGTAGGACCAGATCGAATGAATGGCTTTAGCTTGTATATGTCCAATGGAACAGTTGATGCTGGGGATAAATTGTTATGTTACACAGATCTTCTGATAACATGATTACCCAACACAACCCAGGATATCGACTGTAATACAATCACCAAAAATGTGTATTTCTTCAACAATAGATCAAGCATAGGACAAAACGGAGAAGGTGCCTTTGTAGAACTGTGCTGTATAGCAATATACGGTTGGTATTTTCAATAATAAATTGTTCTATATACTGTATTACACATCAGTATCCTCAACTCCATTCTTGGGTATGCATCTTTTTGGAATCCAAATACAATCAAATGCTTAATGGTAACTCTGTCCGTAGCATTGTCAAACTACGTCGCATTATTATCAAACTTTCCATAAAATACTTTCCCTCGAGCTGTTTTCATAGACTCATATTTTTTTAAATTGTTCTGATGGTATGACATAATTAATGATGGTTATCCATAGTACGAAGGCTATTTTTATTTACTATTTTCGCTAACAGTTCAAACTCAAGTTCGTTATTGGCTGAAAGATTTGAAGGCAGGTAAACTACCATTTTGGGTAGAGGATTCTTAAAAGAGCCGATTTGACCAATAGCATTGTTTCTATATGTCAATTTCTTCGAATTCTTCTATAGGTTTAGGAATACCTCAACGGTGCCAATTTTAGTGCACTAGGTGCGCATTTATTACAATAAATGTGTATGCAGTGATGCTAGAGGCCAAAATGTTTGATAAACCAAAAGCAATGCAAACGTTGGAGAGCTGATGAAGTCATAATAATTGACATGTCAGAACTAAAGTGTCCAGATTGTGTCATCTGATTCATTTAGCATTAGAACATGTATAACTAAGTTAAACGTAGTTTTATAAAAATTAAAACTTTCACTAAAAGAGACAATAATAATGTGTTTTTTTTTACTATACTCCCCCCTCTCTATTGTTTTTTTTTTATATTATCCTAATTTTCAATAAAAAAAAACAGTCTTAGAAAAGCAAAAGACGTGCAATAATCATCTAACGTTATGAGACAAACACATATTTGGTACCAAAGAAAGCCCAAATTGTAAGCTGACCAGAACGAGGTACCTTAAATTTCAGTCAATATCTGTGAAATTCCATATTTGGTATAAGCTAGACAAATATCGTAATGATCCATCTATACGTTTTTCTCGTAGGATGCTGGAAAGGTACATGGGGAGTTAATTGTTTAAATCCCTGTCCTGCTAACAGCATATCCAATCACTGCTATCCTGGAAATGGTTCCTGTGTTTGGGGATGTGATTGCCTCCATGACACTTGTGATATGATCACCAGTATATGCACAGAATGATGTAAAGCTGGACTTATTGGACAGTACTGTAATAACACTAGCTGTGAGTCCTTTGTTTATTTAATGAACTTTAAATTAAAGATATAAATTGTATTAGAAAATGTGTTTAATTCTAATTTTGCATTGGTACATCAAATACTTAAAGACCGTTTACGTTTTCTTGACACTAATTATATAAGGAATCGCTATTATTCATACATATATGTCCCTTACAGATAATCTTGCTTCTAATGGAATAGCAACTCAAACACCATCGAAAACAAATCATCCAGCATTTCTGTCGGTTGATGGAAACCGGACCGGTATCTGTTCAGTGACATCTGGATCTAACTCCTTTCTCCAGGTTGACACTGGTTTAATGAGTATCATTACCATGATTTATATTACTCTTGGTGGTAAGTTACCATAGAGATGTGATTTATGTTTCATTTTAAATATATTATGTAGCAAGTTTTCCCAGCAAGTTTTGCTCAACAAGTGATTCCTGACGTGTTCTACTGTTACAGTCCGTTTATGACACATATCCAATTGTCAGGTGACAAACAATAGGGATTGTCTTATCTCCTTATCTTACTGTAAAAGCTTCCAAATTTAATCAGTACGTTTTCAATTACTAAATGTATGCATATGTTGTGAAAGAGTGAACAAATATAAGATTGTAAAACAAATTAAATACTTGATTATTATGACATCACTACGGCCATACAAATAAGGTCAAGGAACAGTAAATGGGCTATGTCCCAGATTTTGCTAAAATTAAGCATACAACTTTGACTCGTTGAACTATAACTAAAAATCGAAAAAATAATGCATATATCTCTTTAAAAATCTGAAAAATTACTGATTGAATTCTTTCAAAATAGGAGAACATTTGTATAGAAAGCACATAAAATCAGCGAAAAACCTTCTTGAATTTGTCTTAAAATCATAAAATCTCCAATTTCTAATACATAGATTTTTCTTATTAAACTATATGATGTTGATACAAACATTTTCGTTTAAATGATATAAAATAATCATATGGTGACCGACTTCGAACATTCTTGTGTCGTTTAATATTGTACGTCTTTGGTCCTTTTATAGTCATGCCAACTACATTTTATTAACAAGCCAATCGTCTTTTAATGACAGATTTATTTATTTTGAATGTTTAAAAATCTAAATAACCGAGTTACATTTATCATATCATATATGGCTCTTATGTCTCAAATGCATACTCGTATTATACATACTTTAAAATGACTATATGTACATGTTTATCAGCAATGCTCTTGACAGTACTCTAAATTACGTGTAGAATGTTTTTATCTATCCGAGAACAAAACAGCAAAAAATAAACAGAATCTGCACAATTTAACAACAGTAACTATTCAGTATATTGTTCAAACACGAGTGACTCCTGGAATAACGCAATAGAAATATACAATGGTGAACGTCCGACAGAAGATATCTACGTAACTGCTGTCTGCAGATATGTAATTTATGTACCACCAACTATAAGAGGCACTTCAAGGGTAGACTTGTGTGAAATAGAAATTGGTGGTAAGTGCAAAAATTAATTCCTCGATCACAGGAATGATATATCGTTTTCTCTACACGCCTACTGTATGAAACAAAAATTGAACAGATAGTGTGAAAATGATATAGTAGGGCTATATTGCTTATAACGAAAACCTAACATCAATTTTAAGATAGTAATTTGCTTTAAAGAGATCAAACAACTAAAAAAAGGCCAGTTCAAAGAAGGAAAGCACAAAACAACCTCCGTGAATGCCGTACGGTGACCTATAGTTGTTAATTTCTGATTCATTTGGTCTCTTGTGGAGAATTGTCTCATTGGCAAGCATACCACATCTTATTTTTATATCCAACATAAATTTTCAACTACAGAAATGATTGATTAACTCAAACCTCGCCAAAAATCTGGGTCAAAATATACTAGGCTCACTATTAGTAAGCAAGTTTAGCTGAATCATATTTTATCAGTTCATCCATCAACTTGTATTTTATTAATAAATTAATTTTGAAAATGATGTACACACTGAAATACTAGTATACAGAAAGGTGTAAATATATTCATTCCTTTTATAAGGTCAACGGCTCACATGTAACCCAACAGTGTACGGCTTATGTGCAACTCAACAGAACGGATCATATGCAATTCAACAGTACTAGTTTTCTTGACTTTAACAAAATTACATCTTAAACCAGTTAAGTTTGTAGGCTTCTAAACCACTTCAATCTATATTATAAATGATGTTTCCTACAACAGGTTGCCCTTTAGGAACATACGGAGTATACTGTGGAATGAAATGTTCAGAAAACTGTATATCAGGATCGTGTGACTTAGTTAGTGGACACTGCACATTTGGTTGTACTGATGGTTGGGTCGGTAATAGGTGCAATAAAAGTAAGCCTATGTTAAGAATAATACCGTAAATAATTAGGAAAAAGCAAAAATTGTAAAAGTTTGTAATTGTTCATTAAAACATTACATGTATGTCTATATATGTATAAAACAAGAATGATGAAGTTCTTCAAATATAACTGAGAAGAAAACCCATTTTTCTTAATAAAAGCAAAAGTTCTTTTTATATATATTTTAGGCTTCAAAGAAAGTGCAACAGGTTATTTAGCGTAGTTTGTTAAATGGTAAAGTTTCAATCATTCTTAAACTTTATTTTAGCCTGTAGTGAAGGTCTATTTGGGAATCAATGTGTGCATACATGTTCGTCTCACTGTGTCAAATCATCTTGTAATCATGTGACAGGGGAATGCAATGGAGGATGTAAACAAGGATGGACAGCTCATGACTGTTCAGAAGGTAAAACATAGATGTCGTTCAGTTTGTGGAAAACGTAATGATCATCGTGCGCATACCACATGTTCCTGGAATAAACCGTAGGCTCACTCGAGACCACATATTTAGAAACCAAAACATGAAAATCGTTTTAAGGCATATTAACCTTACTTGTTTAACTGGTTTTCATTTCTAGCAATTCTGTCTATAGTATTGGGTGTTTAAAACATTGACCTGCTGGATGTTCAGTTCAATTCCGGCAATTACGATTAAATTTATGACACCTATAAGATATGACTGGGATACTCTTCACTAGGACTTCTTACCAGTTAAAACAATATTCAAAAGGGGGCTTCCGTTTTGCTCTTTGGCTCTATGAATATACATCTACGTTCAGTTGGAATGAACTCGTTCAATCAGATGATTCATGAATATGGAGGGATAAGGCCTCACCGACTGCACATGGATGAACCAAATTTTTATTGATGGGTCGTTTGATTGATTGTTACAAGGCTAATTTCTCTCCATATCGAACGTCCATAAATTTTTCAATGACAAAGGGAATTTCCAGAGTTTTATTTTATGTTTTCGGCTTCAAAGAAAGTGCTTCGGACCCATGAAATTTATATTGTGTTGTTTTCATTTTTTATTGAATAAAATCTTTCTTACGAACATACATTCATGATATGTTAGTGCCGCGATGAATGAAGGATTTGATGAGGTAATATTTAATATCATGTCAAAACGTTTCCTATTTTATGGTGATATTGCAATTCCCGACATTGTGCAGGAGGTTTGATATGTTAATCATCTTAATTCTTCTTACTAATCGCCGTAGCAAGATGTCTTTGTTAAAATTGTTAATAGACAAAAAGTGGTCTATGGTAAACTACATTTGTATGTGATTCATAATCATTATCTTCATCCCCAACCATACTGAATAAAATCATTCAAATATGCATTGACATTTTAGAATGCAGTACCGGATATTTTGGTAGAAATTGTTCCCAGTCATGTGAAGGATGCATATCTGATCTATGTGACCGTTTTGATGGCTTTTGTAATGTGACAGACAAATGTAAACCAGGATATATACACGACTTAAAATGTAATCAAGGTATGTATTTATTTCAATGGTTTTGTATTTTTGAAGGATATGTTGATATAATTTGCATTTGTGATTCATACACACGATACTTTTTTCTGTTATAGGATTTGTTCTAGAATATGACTTTTGAAGGCTTCATATCGATATTGTGAAAGCTTTAATATTTCAATAACCAAGAATTTGTCCTCGACGAATCTCATCTGCACAGTGATTTGAAAGATGCAGTATGATTTATAAATCCAAAGTTCTACGATTCTTGTCTTTCGTGCAACATACATATGTGTATGAAGATGGGTTTCTTTGATTTAAAAACCACTATTGATTATTCCAATAGTTCAAATTCTGTTTTTTTTTCCGGTTTCATTATGTTTCAGCAAAAATATTTTGTGCAAGCAGATGTGATGATAGTAACCTTAATTATTATGATTTGTCTAGTTATAAAAATGATGATAAAAATTACAAATCATAAACTTATTTTGAAACGGTAATTCTAATATAGTTTATTATTCGGATTCATCGTGTACACTCCAGCTTCTAGAATATCAGGAATAAGAATAGATTCATGAGTTAGAAGTTTTTTAAAAACCCATGAAATTTCTTTTTGATTTAGAAGCATACATCAATTTCAGAAAGAATCGATCATTAATTATAAATCGTAGTGAGTCTTACTTAGGTTAGGAATAATTAATTACGCGTATGAAAAGTTTATTAATTTATTAATAAAACAATTATTTCTATCTAATTGACATCGACAAGATGTACTCGATTGACATTTTGTAATCACTACCTTTAATTTTATTCCTCTTACATTGAAAAATCACTAAATTACACTCAATACAACTTTCGATATTATAAATTAATGATCCATATTGCATCATACTTTTTATATACATAGAAAAGATGTATTTTTAGATGGCAATTTTTTTCGATATATTTTTAGCATGTGAGCACATGTACTATGGTGATAATTGTACAGAAAAATGCAATTGTCTCTCTAGATTGGAACCTTGTGATAAATCTACTGGAATGTGTTCTGACGGCAAATGTGACAAAGGATGGTCTGGGGAATCTTGTAATAAAGGTTTGTCAAAGGAAGTAATAGAAATACTTATTACTTAGTCATAAATCTTAAGTCTTTCTATTTTTATGACATACCGAAGCTATTAAAAATTAGTTGTTTCAAATATCCATTTAGATAGAGATAATTCCTAGCGAATAAACAATGAACACACATTTCAGATAATACTTAAAGATCACAAATATATTAAATGAATGGCGATTTTATAAGTTTTATAAGATATAATCGAAATAAAACGGTCACCCAGAGAAGCAGTGCTCTTCAACTTTGTAATTTATTTGGCCTTTTTAACCTTTTTTGATTCCAGCGTCACTAATGAGTCTTTTGTATAAGAATTGCGCGTCTAGCGTACACAATTTTAACCCTGGTATCTATGATGAGTTTATTTACAGAAAATATCTGGCTTTGTATGATTTCCTGTATGAATTATTTCCGTATTTTATTTCATTTACCGCTTTTGACAAAGACCTCTCGATTCGCTTCATGTTCCCTTTTTGATGGTTTTAGACACATTCCAGAAAATACATTGCATTGCTTTTTCACACTGTAATTCTGACTTATTTCCAAGAAAATTCAACCTCATAAACAGTAATGGATGAAATTGATATGATGAAACAAACTAAACAAATATATAGAGGAATTAGGACAGAATTTTATGTTGAGCGCTTTATACTATTCTATTGTGGGACGATTTATTTTTGATACTTTTAATTACATGTATTGTTTACCTTTTAAAGTTGATATAAAGCCATGTAATGCATATTTTAATTTTCATTGTAGAATGCAGCGAGGGATATTACGGATCGAATTGTATTGATTACTGTAACAATTGCTTAAACACGTCCTGTGAAATATTTGAAGGCAATTGTACTTATGGTTGTAATAATAAATTCAGTGGTCCTCAGTGCACGAAAGCAGGTAATAAAAGGATTTTTGTTATTCAAAATGAAATAACATGAATGGTAGAAAGAAGAAATTTTTATAATATTTAATTAGATACTGCTAGTTTAAAGTGTTAATACAACTGATGAAAAAGTAAAAAACAAATTTATTTACAGAATCGTGAAAAAAATAAAAAAAAATATATAACATTGCTGTACAAATACAATTTATGAAAGAATGAATAACTAAGCTGGAATCATTATCATTGTGTTGATTCAAGTTTGATATACATGATGGATGCATTATAGTCAATAATATATATATTTTTTATAGACTTGCAGTCTTTAGAAGAACGAGGACTTGTTACAGCCATCATAGGAGGAATTTGTGCTGCAATATTTGTCGTGATTCTTGCAATTATTTTGTGTATCGTTTACAGGTATTCATTTTGTTTCTGTTTTTTCTCCAAGAATTATCATTCTCATGTTTCATAGACCTTATATAATTTTTATAATTATAATTTACAAAAATATTAGAGTATATAATTATTCCTGGCCTTTAGTTAAAATACACTTGTGACGTAAATCTTTTGTTCAAACTCTCCATTATTTTTCAGGAATCGAGAGTTATTTTCTATTGTTCATCTTCATTCATCTGGATGTTTTGCCTTTGGATATTTCCATGGGCACTTTCTAAAAAAGTGTTCACCCATGGAAATAATTCTAAAGGACGTAACGCGATTTTGAATGAAGATTAAAACTTTCTAATACGGCTGATACTGGATGTTTTTTTTTTAATTTTGATCGTAGTAATACAATGAATACCAAATATCTCATTATCAATAAACAGCTTTTATTTGCGAGTCGTAATTTCAGCGAATGATATATAGTAGCGTATTCACTAAAATTCAACAACAGTATCTATAATTTGTTTTCCGATGCAAATCTTTGCTGCATTTCTGTCACAGATAGTAGCCAAGCGGGTAAAAACGATTTTTTTTCATTGAGTGCCATTCCTCTTCTGTGTATTTACAAAATATCAAATGTGTTAACTCAGTTGAATTCTTTTGTAATATTGAACACATTAACATTTTTCAATAAGGAAAATTAGAGCAAACTATATTTCACTTAAAGACTTGCTTTTAATGTTGCCGTTTGAGATATCATTTCCTTGAAATTTAAAGTGTTGTATTTTGATTTTGTACAGCAAAAATCGTTTGTTCCATTTAAATATGTACAATAAAAACAGGAAAATTACTCGGATAGTTTCTACAATAATATTGTGGTTTAATAGAATGAATATTGATAGTTCAAGAAACTGGAATGGTCAAAATAGCGTATTCGGTATATTATTTGATTGTGCGTTGTTATAATTTGAATATAGTACTAATGATTAGAATTTGAGGGGGTATGAATAATACTTGAATAAGGCTTATGTTATATTTTGGGCGTTTTTTTAATTCTGTTTCAAACAGAAACGCGAAACATAATCGAATTCATTTACTGTTGTTATATGACCAGCAAATATAACAGTTATAGCGGCAGTGGAAATGACGGCGTTAATCTTGAAATGTTTAAATGAAGCCAAAAAGTAGTTTTCAACTTAAGTTAAAGACATACAAAACGGAATCCAGAAATATTTTTAATCACGTGGGTTTTTTTCCAACACTTTTAGCTTCCTTTCTGATTAAAGGGAAGAATAAAAAATATTTTCAGTTTGTTTGTATTGCTATTTAAGACTCATCTAAAATATGCATAACATTCTTTTCGTTGTTATGAGCAAAGGGAAAGAAAAAAAATTCGGTAATGCATGAAACATTGTTTTCTTATTTAATTTTATTTGATCTAATAGAATGGTTTAAAATATAGAATCACATTGTGTTTTTGAAATGACTCATAATCTAGCACACCCTTATTAGTTAAATAATCTAGACTAGGTTGTTACATACCTGAAAATTTGTTCTAGTTGTACGATTCATTTTTCTCAGACGATTTTACGTCTAAGATATTAAATGAAAATCATACATAATCCATGAACATATATGCATAAATACTAGTTTTTTTTCCTCTCCCGAAATACCATTTAAGGTTCATCAAAAGGAATTGACAAATATGGCCGTGTTTACACCATAAAATCTATGAGTACAGACAAACTGATGCATCTAGGAAAGTTTTAAGGCATTGCAGAACCTAGACATATAAAAGTCGTATGTAGTCTATGTTTCAGAAAATTAAAAACTTATCTTGATTTTGATGTGCATTTTTTCCAGTCTGCAGAAGAGAGCAAATAAACAAACACAATAGTTTCATTTGATACGGTCCACTCAGTTACATAGTTTAAATCACATATTGTTTGCAGATGTCTATTGTCCATCTATTGTCCATTTAAATCAATATTACTCACAACATTTATTATATGAGGGGAGCTTTTCAAACCTCTATCCCAACTTAGTTTATTTTGGCACCTTCTGCAAGAATGAAAAAAAAAAATGAATAGCAAAATCCAGAAAATTTTATAATTCTCTGAAACATAAAATGGATTTAAAATTTAATTATCTAGTTCCTGCCATGTCTTAAAACTTTTCCAGGTGCACAGGTTTGTCTGTACTCAATTACAACTTGTAGCGTTAATACGGCCATATTAGTCAAAAGGTTATGAAGAACCTTAAAGACACAAATAAATATCCTTTCAACCCCACTATAAGAAGGACGTGCGTATCCAATGACTAAAAACAAAAATTAGGATGACTTTTTTTAAGATCTTTTTATAGTAACTATTCTACTGTTCATAAATACTTCATTAAGTGAGTAAATGGTCAGCTCGATTTTACATTTTGCCTGTGGATTATTGGTCACAATACGGGGAAAATTAGAGAAAACCACTACAAAATGAAATAAAATTCTTAAAAATTTTATAATCTGAAGATTTGCTCTTAATATTTAAGGTGAATTTAAAGTTAGCGAAAGTCCAAATAACTGTCCATTCCTGGGAAATAATGGGCGTCGGCCCTACGGGCGACGTACAACCGGAAAGCATAATTTTTTAGGTGTGTTATTTTGACTTTTTTCCAATTTCTTTTATTTTTTTTCTTACAAAGAAATATTAGGATAACGTCTATCCAGATTAATATCATACATGTTTTTATATAAAAAAAAATAAACATGTAAATAGACATGTACATTGTAATCAAGAACGCCACTGTGAGTTTTGTCTATATATGACTTAATGTTCGGATGATTATCTATAATTTTATGATAAAATTGAGAATGGAAACGGGGAATGTGTCAAAGAGACAACAACTTGACCAAAGGGCAGAAAACAGCTCAAGGTCACCAATGGGTCTTCAACACAGCGAGAAAATCCCGCACCTGGAGGCGGGCTCTAGCTGGCCTCTAAACAAAAATGTATACTGGTTCAGAGAATATGGACGTCACACTAAACTCCGAAAAAGAGAGGCTCAAGACATTCAAACACATAAGTCGAAAATTAGCTGACAACGCCATGGCTGAAAAAAGACAAACAGACAAATAAAAGTACACAAAACACAACAAAGAAAACTAAAGACTGAGCAACACGAATCCCACAAAAAACTAGGGGTCAAGATATGAGGCGAACTTAACTGTATCTGTTGTATCCTTAATCTCAAGTTCGATGGGATAGATGCGTTCAACATAGTCACCAAATTTTGAATTATTTAGCAAGAGAACATCATCTATGTAGCGGAAAGTAAAGTTAAAGGATACTGCAAACTTCTTTTCTTTCCTCTTAAAAGTTTCTGTGTGAAGTCAGCCTCGTATAAACAAAGAAACAAGTCGGCAAGAAGAGAGGCACAGTTGGTTCTCATGGGGATGCCGATTGTTTGTTGAAAAACACGTCCAAATGTACTGCGGATTCATATATTTTCGTGGGTATCAATTTTCGTGGATTGAGGAAAACTTGTGTAATTCGTTGAACATTTGAATTCGTGGTTCACCTGTACTCCGAAAACCACGAAAATTGGTATCCAACGAATAATAATTAATCCACAGTAACAAATACGTTGTCAATCAAGAAATCCAGCATCTTAATAATGTCCGTTTCAATGATTTTTTAGAAAGTACGATTTATCCCTCCCTAAGACA